GAGTCCTGAGACCAGCTCTGCCACAGGTTGGGTTCTCTGCAAGAAGACTCTGAGATGGAAGATGGGGTGCAAGGTTTTTATCAGGGAATCAATACCTGTGAAAGGAATAGGGAGGAAGTAGATTTGGGCAGAGGGGGAAGCTGAGATGTGATGCAGGGGTGCAGGATCAGCAAAGCCTTGGGCAGCCCCGCAGGTTGCTGGGAGCATGTCTTGAGTCTCCCGTGGGCTGAATGGCCAGGCTTCTGTGCCCCCACGCAGATGAGGATGTGAACAGCCCAGGAGGGCGTGTCCGTGGCTGTCTCTGTAGTTTAGGCAAATCCTGAAGGAGGGGCAATCAGTTGCAACAGCGGGGCAATCAGTCCCTCCTGGAAGGGGGTCGTGCATGGGGAGCTCCACATTCACCATAAGCTCCCCAAGAAACAGGCTACCCTCACATCCTTATCTGGGGCTCTGCTTTTGGGAGAACCCAAATAAAGACACTGGGTGAGGTATTGCCAGGATCAGCATCCCAGGGCACAGAGAGGATAGAGAAGGGCAGAGAACAGATGTGGGGATTGAAGGCAGCACATCCATTCAACAAGTACAGCTGACATCCAGTGCTGGAGGCCCAGAGGTGCCCAGTGTGTGCAAGGCTGCCCTCCTGCCTCCTCTCTGAGTGGACACCCTCCCCCTCTTCCAGCACTCAGAGGACCCCGCCCAGGAAAGCCTTCCTGCTTTTACTAGGGAAGAACAGAACCTACTTGATCTCCCTGACAAGTGCCACCTGAGCTAAAGGGGAGTAAACTCTACCCTCATTTAGGGACCATCTCATTTATATCTTTTACAACATTAAACAGAAGAAAGCATCACTTAGCGGGTGCCCACCCTGATATTCAGCACCACCCTTTGCATTTGCGATGATTACCTCCTTTAACACAGGTGGAAAATGTGACTCAGAGAGGTTAAGTAACTTACCCAAAGTCACACAGCCAAAACCCAATAGAGCCAGGATTTAGAGACATTCTGATTGACTTCACATTCCATGTAGATGGCACTATGAGGCACTGTCTCAGGAAGTTTACTGCACACAGATTCTCCCATCCTACTCCCCAAGGCAGAGCAGAAGGCTGGGTTCTGGGCTTTTCTGACTTGGGATGCGGTAATTAGACCTCCAGCCCAAACCAGTTTCCAGCGGCTTCTCCCGCATTCCCAGCCTGTCTTCAATCACGCCGCAGCAGCCCCTGCCTTGTTCATCACCGGCTTTCCTTCTCGTGCCTCCTCTAATTTTGCTCCATATCCCTTATGATGAGCCATTGCATAGAGGGTGATTTACAGCTTCCACTCTCATCTGCCTAGGGTTTTTTTTTTTTTTTTTTTAAATAGAAGAATTAAATTGGATCAAGCGCTCCAAGAACCTGTCTCTGACTTCAGCCTCTCTCGTTTACCCAGTGATGCATCACGCTGTGTTCTAATGGCTTCCTAATGGGCAACTTAATCTGTCATTAAACCCACTCACCAAGGGCCCCTTGCCAGACTCCTTGGCCATTGGTCTGCTTGCTGAGCCATGGCGTCTGTGGGGTGACCCCGTCCTCAGATTAGCGGGGGTTCTAAGAGGAAGCGCATCATTTCGTCTGCGGTCCCGGGCTCAAATGCCGACGGAGCCAGAGAGGTAAGAAAAGTGAGCAGGGCTGGTGGCTGGGACTCTGCGACCGTCTAAAGGGCCGCCCCTGCTCGGTCCCCCTCATCGCTGACCTATGGGGATCTGGGCCCAGATCTTCCCAATTCTTGACACAAGTCGGAGATGTAGAAGTGTATGTATAATCTTCCCCTTTTAAAAATGTCAGCATCTATTTAAAAACACTTTTTTTAAACACTGGGCAGGCCAAATAAAACATGGCAGCCGGCAGCTTTGGCCCTCCTCAGAGCGACCCCGAGATACCCCGCTGTGCTGCTCCCGGCCCCGGAGATTTCCTACAGCTCTGCTCAGCAAGGGTAAGAGAATAATAAATCGGTCGCTTCACTATCCAATTAGCAGCCGTTGCTCCCCGCTGGAGGAAGAAAACAAACAGGAAGACCCTGCCCTGTTTTGTTTAGGGTCAAACTCGCCTCTGTACCACCTACTGGAGGGACTCTGGAGTTTGAGTTCTGGGGACAAGCGCGTGCCTCTGCTTCCGAATGAGCTCCTTTGACGTGTGGGTCCTGGGCACCAAACCACAGCCACCACAAGCCGCGGGTGCTTCCCCAGCGGGCCCCGGGAAGGAAAGCTCTGGGCAGGGGCAAAGCTGAGTTTTGCAACCAGTGAGCGGGAGCCCGGGGGCGTGGCCAGGCTGAGGGGGTGCGTTGTCCTGGTAACCCGTAACTTCCAGAACCATCCATC